GTCCTTTCTTTAATAGTGTTTTTGATATGTTGTACTGTTATCCAGTTTGGTGTATATATATTTTTTGTTTTTTTTTTTCTTTTTTTTCGTTACTTTAAATTGGTACTTAGCTGTCTGTATGTATTTTTACATTTGCTTTTTTAAAATCATCCCATAATAATCGTAAAATATGTATAGTACAAAAGTGATACATTTCTTTTATAGCACTTCGTCTAATATCTATTGAAATGACAAGATTTTTATAGATATCGACGGGTATTACTGTAGTAGGTGCGTATCAAGTGTTTTTGCATTGATTATATAACTTTTTCGTGATATATTGATGGACAAATAAGGCATGCTCGCGGATTCTGATCTTTTGTTGAATAAGAGGTAGTATTAGATTTATTTACTGCTTGATCAATATTATAATTTATGACTCGGGATGATTCCTTACTTGTCATGTTATCTGATGATTTGGTTTTTTCTTTAAATTTTGATTTTAAAGCCCAGTTTATATGTCATATATATAATTGAACTGTTAAAGATTCCCCTACTTTTGTTGCATCATTTATTTCAACAAAGTCCTTAATGATAAATATGAAATCGGAATCCATACCATGAGTTTTTATATCATTTATAAAAATTTCGAAGACTTTATAAAATTTGCTTATATAACTTGTATTTATTGCTTTTATTGTATTTAATATAAGATATGCAATAGGAAACTAGTACCTTTAGCATCGGTTATTATAACATAGAGTTTATAATATCCATGTTCAGTCTTATATATTGCATTCAAGTAAATTTCTGTAACATTTATACTATCTAAACATTGTTAAAAACATCGACTATTGTGTTTATTAAACGTTATACAAGCAAATTCAATATAATTATAATGATATAAAATAGCTTTCAACTTGGCATTAATCTTTAGAAATAAATTTGTTTTGATAATTTAAAAAAATCAAATTCTTAACATCATAAATAATTTATAAATTTCAATATATATACAGCATATATATTAATTTTTTTTTTTTAATTTATTAAATATCTTAATACAAAAATACAAATAAGAATAAAGAGATTCGTAATGAACATTTATTATTGTAACCCCAATAATCATATTAACTTGAGCTGTAATTTTGGTTTTGCAATTGTAGCATACATATTATTTGTAATTGTGATCTTTATATTTATTATTCTGTATCTTTTTTATTAATAACGTATATAAAAAAATCTGTCGAATATATTGATAAACTTTTTTTAAAAAAGTAAATATAAATGATGCAAATTTTTTATTGATAAATACTATCTAAGTTTTATATTAAATATTTTTTACATATGAAATCAATTAATACTAGAGTATACCTTTATACAGTATGTCTTCTATATTATATAACTTAACACTCATATTAACTATTTCTAGTAAAAACTAACTTGTTTTGCTTTCATAATCCAGTTATATAAACTTGTAGGCTCACACATCAGATAAAATCAACACTTTCTTGTCGTCACCACACTATCATTACATAATATTACATAAGGTCGATGCTTTGTAATACTCCGGTTAATATTGGTCACGTGATTATAGTCGCGTCTTTGACAGCCTCTTACAATATATATATATATCATCATTATTTTTCAATTAGATAACTTGATTTAATATGCAAATGGTAGTTTAATTAATAAAAAATATTACGAATCATGTACGACAGAATATTCCATTTTTTAATATACATGTACGTTGTTGGCAGGAAAAATGGTCGGATCGGTGCAGGTCACGTGATGGGTCGCATCAAATTATGCATCATGAAGCTAAAATAGTTTGTGGGGTTTTGCATGACGCGACAGTAGATTTATGAACGCGTCGCAGCTAGTATAAATAGGAGTAGTAGAATAGTTAGTTAGGGGAGATTGAATATTGTATACGATATCCATTTGGTACTTGCAGCATAATTAATAAACTTGCCTTATTTGTAAATCGCCATTCCATTAGGGAATCGGGCTAATAAAGGAAGGAAGTTTATTAGCAAGTGCCTTTGGTATCGTCAGCGAAAGAGACCCCACTTGCCGGCATAAGGCGGAACAGTAACGAGACCGCCAATCCTGGTAACAATGTATTTGTCAAAACCCCATTTTTAACATTTTTTCCGTTGCGTTACTCCCTACATTGTCATGTGCCAGCACTTTTGTGGAGTCGAGGTGAAAAAATGACGTAATTAGTTTAGCCTTGCTATTCTTCCACCTTGGCTAATGTAAAGTGTAAAATGACCTCGTTTATGTATAGTAGTTCACATTAAGTAGATGGATAGATGGCATGACATAATGTGTAACGCGTGACGCGATCGATATTAAAGTATTGTATCCAAACTGGAGACAAATGACCCAACTTCTTAAAAAGATAAATAAGAAAGGTAATACAGAAAATTTCAAAATATATATTTACAGTATATCATTAATAAAGTCTAGAAAACTCACCTGTTTCTTCTCTCACACCAACGACGGGAGAATATGAAAAATATAGCATGCAGAAATAATGATCTAACATTATTTAAAATTCTGATGCTAATATCTCGAGTATTACTTTATATACATAAATTTTTCCGTATGTTTATTCACGTTGCACATCTGCTCCTCACCAAAATTACTGTATCTAACGTTATTTTTACATTTGCTTTTGGTCGTACGATTAACGGCCATTTTCCGAGTTACGTGTAAAAAATTTATGCATATCTGAAGAGTTCACTTTGTAAAATTATAAATAATGTATTGACACGAATAAATATTTATTGTTGATTATAGAAACTAATTGTCTCCTTCATTGAAAGCTTCTCTTAAAAATAACCTGCACTACATTTGACGATCAAACACATACTCTGATTTAGCCTTCTCCCTCAATATCCTTCTTAATATCTTCCCCGATGCACTTTAGGTATTTAATCAATATATAATATATCCCTTAACCTTTTATATGGTGCTACTTTATTAGCAACGTAATCCATTATCTCCAGAAATATCTCTGGCGATTGTTCGTAGCCGGTTCGAAGTGTAATGTAGGCCAAAGGATATTCGGTAGCATCTGCTTCACAGTTAAAACCAACTACTGCGGCATCCGATACTGCTGGATGAGTAATTATAATTTCTTCTAACTCTGCGGGAGCGACCTGCAAACCCTGTTTTAAAAGAAGGGTAAAATGTTAAAGTATTTTAATCGATATTTAAATTTTCTAAACACATACCTTATACTTAATTAACTCTTTAAGACGATCGGTAATAAATAAATTTCCTACGAAAATAAAATTAATTAGATTAAAATAAGTCAAATATTTTGACTACATAATAAAACTATTACTCACCTTGGCTATCTATAGAAGCGACATCTCCTGTATAAAGAAATCCATCTTTATCAAACGATGCATTAGTAGCGCCTTCATTATTTAGATATCCCTAAATAATTAAATATTTAATAATTATAATGAAGCTCAATAATTACGTATAGTAACTTTGAAATCACACCTTCATTACGTTAGGTCCTCGAACACATAGTTCTCCGGGTTCATCATAACCCAATTCTGATCGAAGAAAATTTGATTATAAAAAAACCACATATTT